GTGTGTGTGTGTGTGTGTGTGTGTGTGTGTGTGTGTGTGTGTGTGCGTGTGTGTGTGTGTTTTCTGAAGGAAGTAGGTTGGCAGCCAAGAAGCATCTAGTGATATGCTATAGGTTTCATTAAAATGCATCCAGTGGTTAGTAAGATATTTTGTTAACACTAACAGAGACAAGGGTAAACCCATTATTATTGCTGTTTGCAGTGGGAGACAATAAAATAAATATCAGTATCAGGTCTTCAGGAAATTAATTTGCCGCCTAAACATTCCTACAAAACTTCCGTTTTTGCCTCAGATAGCCGAACCAATTAGCATTCAGCTGTTTGTAAATCCTTTTTATCTCAGCAGCTTTGAGTCTTTTTTGCAGCTTGTTTGTTTGATGAGACTTTACCTAGTTGGTCTACCTCAACATCTGTCTTCCTCGTTACTAACTCCTCATTTCATGAGCCTCACTCAGCTTTTCACATGCTCCAAACCGTCAAATCTCTCATCTCCACCCGTTAGCTCAGTTCTTACTTTACATTTCTGCTGGTCTCATTCCCACAGGCTGTAGAGAAAGTCAAATGACTTTTGTTATTTCCACAACGGCTGTCCAGATAAGGCGAGGCCGAGATTATTCTGTGAGATTTTATACCCCCCGTAGGACGGCCGTCTCTATTATAAATCCACAAAGCTCAAAGATTTGTCCTGCAAAGGTAGAACGGAATAAAGAAGTGGCTTTTTGTTGTTGGCACCTTCAAAGGCAACTCATAAATGATTAAAGTGATACCTGAGGTTCAAAATGATATGTTGTAGTTTTTTGATGACTCTGGGGTGGTGTAATTAATTATTTTAAAGCAGAATCTTTGGTACTGAAGATTTTTTTATGATAAACTGTAAAAACCCTGAGAGATCTGCAGAGGAATATCTTTAAACTTTAAAGCAGTAGGGTCGTATAAAACATCCTCATTTTCTGATCTATAATCTGTTCAGATTATTTACAGGTCATGATTGAAACCATAGTTTAGAGCAGGGGAGTCAATTTAATTTTTACCAAGAACCTCATGAGCGTCATGGTGGCCTTCAGAGGGCCAATTGTAATTAACTTTTAACTTTAATGTTTCATGTTAAACTTTGACTAAAAGCACAAAGATTTATGTTGGTCATCTCATTACTACAGCTGAGTACCTCTAACAAACAATAACTAAGCTCTATGTGGTATTTCCTTCATAGAAACAGTGTTTTAACACATCTTCTTATAAATACTGAAAAGTACCGTGTTTAAGACTGACTTAATGTGAAATAAATAATACAGAAATACTATTAAAAGTGAAAAAAGAGACCTTTACTCACTGTTGAGTTGTGGTGAGTAGCCGCCATCTTAAATTCTGATCTCTTCTACTTTCCGGCAGGGATTTCCCACAGGAGGTGTTCCAGTTTAAAATTGAGATTTGTAAGTGGGAAATTCCCACTTCCCAGTACAACTGGGCCACAGTAACGGCCTTTCCCAATCAGTGGCTACTCCCTCTCCCCTACTCCCGACACACTACACTCGCTGTGAAACACCCTCGCAGCTTAACCGAGTCTCCTTGAAGGCGCTATATACACCCTCTGCTTTTGAGACGGGTTCTCCTCACACAACCTGAACAGGAAGTTGCCATCACCATGGTAACAGTCCAAGCTTTGGCAGCGACTGAATGCTGGAGAACGAATGCCATAAGATCATCTAGAAAGCGCTTTTTAATAGACTAAAGAAAATATTTAGTTGACCTGATGGATAGCCCCTTGTCAGTGCTAAACAACAAAAGAAATCTGAAGGTCCTATGTTTAATCGTTTTTGAGCTATAACCATTTTTGTATGTCCAGATACCACATTTTCACATAAATTCGGGGTCCAGGGGGGTGGCACTGATTGGTGGGCCTGATGGATAGAGCTTCATCAGAGCTAAAGAACAGAAGAAATCTGAAGCTCCTATGTTAAATAGTTT